GTGAGGATCTATTGTGGTGAGGCCCCTGTGTGGTGAGGGTGGAGAGGCCTCTGTGTGGTGAGGGGTGGTGGAGGCCTCTGTGTGGTGATTGTGGTGATGCCTCTGTTGTGGTGAGTGTAGTGAGACATACAGCGCTATAGACACACAAACATTAAAAACAGATACCCAAACACACATTAACATTATAAAAACATCCTCAAGAAACACATAACCATTCTTTAAAACACAAAACAAAATAAAACATTGGCAACACAAGAAACTCCTGCTGTGTGTGTGTGTGTGTGTGTGTGTGTCGGGGATCAGTTTACCTCTCCTCCTTCTCCAGTCAATTGTCTCATCTCAGAAGTATGGAGGTGTTTAATATTTGATTTGCGGAAAATTACATAACAGAGACCAGGTTTGAGTACTGAGATAGATAGATAGATAGATAGATAGATTGAGATATTTGCCAGAGTATTAAAGGAATGTAAGGAAGAGCTCAGTATGCCCTTAGCAAAGTTGTTTAACATGTCCTTAAAAACAGGTGTAGTACCAGAATCCTGGAGGATAGCGAATGTAATACCGATTTTCAAGAAGGGGGATAGATCACTATCCTCTAACTACCGCCCAATCAGTCTAACATCAATAGTAGGCAAATTACTGGAAGCAATCATTTCAAACTCTATTCGAAATCACCTGGAGAAGCACCGATTGATCAATGATTCCCAGCATGGCTTCACAAGCGGACGTTCTTGCCTAACTAATCTATTAACATTCTTTCCATCAGTTTTCGAATCTGTGGACGAGGCACAATTATGATGTGGTATATCTCGACTTTAGCAAAGCCTTCGACAGAGTCCCCACGAAAGACTAATTAGAAAGGTAGAAGCTCATGGCATCAAAGGTGACATCCTTAAATGGATTAGGCGTGGTTACAGGACAGGAAACAGCGAGTGAGCATTAACGGCACTAAGTCCCATTGAGCAACGTCACAAGTGGAGTTCCCCAGCTCAGTACTTGACCATTATTGTTTATAATATACATAAACGACATAGATATCGGCATAGACAGCAACATAAGTAAATTTGCTGATGATACTAAAATAGGACGTTATCAAATCTGACGAGGACTCGGCAAAACTACAGGAGGATCTAAAAAAATTTTCGAATGGTCTGAAAATGGCAGATGAAATTCAACATCGACAAATGTAAAGTACTCAGTATAGGAAATGTAAACAGGGAAACCAGATACCAGATGAACAACGATGCCATAGAGAAACCGACTGCGAGAGATTTAGAGTAATGATAAGTAGGAACCTTAAGCCAAGTAAACAATGTGTTTTTGCTCGTAACAAGGCTAATAAAGTACTTGGGTTCATACAAAGGAGTGTTAGTTACAAGACAAGCGAGGTCATCCTAAAACTGTATCTTGCTCTTGTGAGACCACACCTGGATTACGCAGTTCAGTTCTGGTCACCGTATTACAGAATGGATATAGAATCCTTTGGAAAGAATTCAGAGGAGAATGACAAGACTAATCCCGGGCATTAGGAACCTAGAGTATAGAGACGGTTAAAGCATCTTAATTTGCACTTTGAGAGACGTAGAGCGAGGGGCGACCTGATAGAGGTGTATAAGTGGAAGACAGGGCTAAACAAAGGACATTACAAAGGTACTCAAATTATCCAACCAGGAGCGAACTCGTAACAATGGTTTTAAATTGGACAAATTTAGATTTAGGCGTGAAATAGGTAAACACTGGTTTGGAAACAGAGTAGTGGCTGAATGGAACAAGTTACCAAATATCATCATTAACTCGAATACGCTGAATTGCTTCAAACATAGGTTGGATGCTCATATGAGCAATAGGGGTTGGGTGTAAACGGGACTGCCCAGTATGGGCCAATAGGCCCGCTGCAGTTTCCTCCATTCTTATGTTCTTATGTTAACGTTTTGAGTACAATAACTTAACCCCTTTGAGTACGATGTTTTATTCCTCTGATTTCGTTGACCTATTACCACGAGAACGTTGATATCGTACTCCAGGTTAAAACCATCGTACTCCAGGGGTTAAACCATCGTACTCAAGGGGTTAAACCATCGTAGTCCAGGGGTTAAACCATCGTACTCAAGGGGTTAAACCATCGTACCCAGGGGTTAAACCATTGTACTCAGAGGTTAAACCATCGTACCTAAGGGGTTAAACCATCGTAGTCCAGGGTTAAAACCATCGTAATCCAGGGCTAAACCATCGTACTCAAGGGGCTAAACCATCGTACTTACAGGGTTAAACCATCGTACTCAGGGTTAAACCATCGTACTCAGGGGCTAAACCATCGTACTCAAGGGCTAAACCATCGTACCCAGGGGCTAAACCATCGTACTCCAGGGTTAAACCATCGTACTCAAGGGCTAAACCATCGTACTCAGGTTAACCATCGTACTCCAGGGGCTAAAACCATCGTACTCAAGGGGTTAAACCATCGTACTCCAGGGGTTAAACCATCGTACTCCAGGGGTTAACTCATCATAATCTTTCCAAAATACGAACATCCAACAGGTGTTTAAGCTCAGGTATTGTCCACTTACAAGCACAGGTGTTGAAGTGTTAGGTTAGGTTAAGTTAGGTTAGGTTAAGTCAGGTTAGGTTAGGTTAGGTTAGGTTAAGTTAGGTTGGGTTAGGTTAAGTTAGGTTGGGTTACGATAGGTTAGGTTAAGTTAGGTTGGGTTCGGATAGGTTTGGTTAAGTTAGGTTAAGTTAGGTTGGGTTAGGTTAGAGTTAGGTTGGGTTAGGATAGGTTAGGTTAAGTTAGGTTAGGTTAGGATAGGTTAGGTTAAGTCAGGTTAGGTTAGGTTAGGTTAGGTTAGGGTGATTCATCTTCAGGTGGTCCATTTAACACTCTCCTGCCTTAAGTATTCCTCTAAATTGTTTACAAAATTAGTTGTCTGAGGCCATAGGTGATGATGACATAATAAAATGTATTCAGCTGCTGCATAAGGAGCTACTGATTGAGCTACTGTAGAGCTACGATGAGAACTACTGTATTAAGGAGCTACTGTATTGAAGACTACTGTATTAAGGGAGCTACTGTATTCAGGAGCTACTGTATTCAGGGCACTGTATAACTACTGTATGGCACTGTATTAAAACTGTATTCAGGGGAGACTTAGGTATAAAGTACAGGTACAGTAATTCCCAAGCGTGGACAGGTGTAGGTACAGATACAGGTACAGATGCAGGTGTAGTTACAGGTACAGGCGTAGTTTCAGATGCAGGTGTAGGTACAGATGCAGGGAGGTACAATTGTAGATACAGGTACAAGTGTGGGTACAAGCAAGTACAGGTGCAGTTACAGGTACAAGTGTAGGTACAGGTACAAGTGTGAGGTACAGGTACAGGTGTAGGTACAGGTACAATTGTGGGTACAGGTACAGGTGTAGTACAGGTACAGGTGTAGGTACAGGTACAAGTGTAGGTACAGGTGTAGGGTACAGGCACAGGTGTAGGTACAGGTGTAGGTACAGGTGTGGTACAGATGCAAGTACAGGTGCAATTGTGAATACAGGTACAAGTGTAGGTACAGGTAATACAGGTGCAGTTACAGGTACAAGTGTGGGTACAGGTACAGGTGTAGGTACAGGTACAATGTGGGTACAGCGGTGTGGCAGGTACAGGTGTAGGTACAGGTACAGGTGTAGGTACAGGTGTAGGTACAGGCACAAGGTGTGGGTACAGGTGTGGGTACAGGTGTGGGTACAGATGCAAGTACAGGGTACAATTGTAGATACAGGTCACAAGTGTAGGTACAAGTGTAGTACAGGTCAGTTACAGGTACAAGTGTGGGAGTACAGGTACAGGTGTAGGTACAGGTACAGTGTGGGTACAGGTACAGGTGTAGGTACAGGTACAGGTGTAGGTACAGGTACAAGTGTAGGTACAGGTGTAGGTACAGGCACAGGTGTGGGTACAGGTGTGGGTACAGGTGTGGGTATAGATGCAGGTACATTTAAGGGAACTATAACTATACCACAAAACAAGTGAATCACTCCAACCTGGCTTACTCTCATTACTGGCTGTGTTAAAGTCTCTCTCTCTCTCTCTCTCTCTCTCTCTCTCTCTCTCTCTCTCTCTCTCGGTCAAGTCTCTGCATTAACTGTCCAGATGGGCCCTGGTCCCTATGCCCCTGTTATAATGGGCCCTAGTTCTAAGGTCATGTCTAATGCCCAGTCCAAATGAGCTCTGTTTAATGGACTAATCCTATGATCCCCTTGTTCTAATGGGCCCCAATTATAAAGAGTCCTTGTTCTAATGGGCCTAGTCCTATGATTCCCTTGTTCTAATGGGCCCCAGTTCTATAATAGGCCCCTGTTCTATAGTGGTCATTTCAGGTCAGCTTAGGTTGGGGTCTGTTAGAGCTGAGAACTGACCTACAGCCATCAGTGTGTGTGTGTGTGTGTGTGTGTGTGTGTGTGTGTGTGTGTGTGTGTGTGTGTCAATCTTCAAGCGATTAATTCCTCGTTCTTAAAGGGTTAATCCATCGTCTTCAAGCAGTTAATCCATCGTCTTCAAGCATTCAATCCATCATCCCTAAAGAATTAATCCTAATCCCATATGTACTGTAAAATAAACCTCTTATTGTTACCCTCTAGACAGACAGACAGATAGACAGACAGACATCTCCAGGTTATAGTCTGTCTTTTGTTGCCGCCTCTCCTTCACTCCTGTCCTAAACAAACGTTTTCATAAAGGCGCTACCAATTATCTCTTCATGTTGGTGTGACTCCTCCTTCAGTAGACGTGGAGGACTTGTGTTGATGGTGGTGTGAGACGGTGGTGTGAGACGGTGGTGTGAGACGGTGGTGTAAGAAGGTGGTGTGAGAGTGCGTGTTAAGGGTTTTTAAATAGGGTTTCAATGGTGTGAAAATGAGTGTGTGTGTGTGTGTGTGTGTGTGTGTGTGTGTGTGTGTGTGTGTGTGTGTTTAACACACACACACACACATAACTCGGACAAAAATGCTTACCAATGACTTGTTAGATGTGGTGGCGTGCTTGATGGTGTAGGATGATTGGTTTTCGGGCGTTGGGTGGATGCGTGGTTGATGTGCGGGCGTGGGGCGGGTATGAGGTGGGCGTGTGGGCGTGGGGCGGGTGTCAGGTGGGCGCACATCACTCACATCCTTCCGGGTAAGCACAAAGACCACCACAACCACCACAACGACCACCACAACGACCACCACAGTCGCCGCCTTAAGTTGTCTCTGACGACCTGTTGTACGACCCACACTGTTCACTCTAGCACGTGAGGTGACGTCAATGTTATGACACGAGACTGATCTAAGGGACGCACCCCATCTTCCAGAGTCGACGGTGTGGAGAAGTCGTGGTGGCACCTACTTGGCTCTTCTCCCTGGCTGGCACTATGCACCAGGGCCGACACAATCACTGTAAAAAGTACTACAAAGTTGTACGCCAAACATTAGGTCTAGTTGGACTTTCTGCTGAGCACACTCGTGTAGAGGCTGGTGAGGACCACCTAATTACTATCACTGTGACGGGACCTCCTCAGGCTGTGCACTGCTGCTGCCCGGGGCCGCTCATCCACTCACTACGGTGAAGGTCTTATAGCACCTGCTGAAGCACACTGGCACTGCCTCGCCAACACACACAACCACGTCACACTTTTAGCACTGTGGAAGGATCTGTGTCGTATGTGCGCCACACGCTTCTTGTCCTCACCTGACACCACCACCGTTACCAAACACCTCTGCTGATCTCAGGCCAGCCCGGGGTGCTGCTGCTGCTCCTGCTGCTGCTGTTGCCTGCTGCCTCTCTCTCTTTTCCTCCAATTTGTACCGACGTGATTTACGATGTGGTGCGTAACAGCGGGAACCTCGTGTCCCGGGCGAGTGCTCGTGCCTGCCAGGTAAAACTGACTGACGGTCCTCCGTAGCAACAGATGGGCGCAGGTGGAGGGAGTGTTGTCACTGGTGATACTGCAGCTGCTACACCACGGCCAGCGCCTCACACCTTCACATGGACACAATTTCTCCCTCAGATTCCAAGAAACAGGCGGTGTTGAGAGAAGTGGAGAAGAGGAACAGGCAGGGAAGGAGTGAGAGTATGTGACATCCCAGCTGTGGTCACAGTTGCCTCACTCTGCCAGGCGACTTACACGCCACGCTGCAGCTCTCGCCAGGATCCTCACACTACCGACTTTCACCAGAATGTGTTATGGCACAAGGATATTGTCTCAGGAGGAAGTATATTTTCCGCGTGGCTGCCACTATAGGCACGATAAGGGGTCGAGTGGCTGACGTGTTAGGTGAGGAGAGGTGCGTGCGGGAGCTCTTGGCTGCTGCAGGGTTAACTGGAGGGCGGTGGGCAGGGGTGAGGTGGTGGGGCAGCACAGCGATGGTGGTGGTGGTGGTGGAGGTGGGCAGCCCCGGGCCACACCACGGCCACTCACTGGATCAGACCTGCGCATGCGCTACCACACCAGCCTTCTTGAGGCCTACGTTAGCCTGCCGCTGGTGGCCTCCCCTGGCCTCCGAGGGCCTCTTTCACCCTGTAATTCACATAAACCAAGTCAGTCTACATTTATTCATATCCGGTACACCTGGCAACACGTCGGAGGTGTGCCCCCACCCGCCCGTCACTGACCCGAGCACCATGGCCGACCACCACCACCACAGTGCCCGCATGACCACCACAGTGGCACACCCACCACCACAACCACACACCCCCTCCACACACCATACACACCCTGGTCTGACCTGCAGGTACACCCTCCTTCAACACCCAGCACCCACAAGGTCCTCATCACCAGTCACTTCTCTTTTTTGTCCGCGACTGTTGGACAAAAACTTGCCTCATCCTCACATTTTGTCCACTTGCTGGTGTGGGCTATTGGCCAAGGGTTGCAGCTACGCTCTCCTGCCTCGCCACCCTCGTCAACTATCTTATCTCTCCGTCACAGCTCGTGGTAGATGTGTGACAGACAGACACTAAGAGTCACTCACACAACACTGATCTGCACTAAATCAACTTATTATTGTGAGTGAGTCAGTGACGTTTTTTCTCCGCCAGTGACCGAATGAGTGAGTGAATAAATCAAGTGAAACTTGTCTTCGCCAGGTAATGTATAATGTTCATGAGTAGCGCTCGTGTGCTGTTAAAAATACCTTTTTTTTAAATTAATGACATAAAATTTAGCTTATAATTATGCACGCGCGCGCGCACGTGTGTGTGGACGGATGTATATCCACACAGTTTCCATGTTACCATTTTGAGTTATTATGAATCAGTGGGCACCATAGGCCGGCACCGCACTCGATCACCTTCAGTTCCTCATCTGAAGACAGGTACCCATTCACAGCTGGGTCAACTAGGGGGCAGGACCGGGGGTACCTCGGGCGAGAACCAGCGACCCCTAGGACAGGAAAAGAGCGGTGTACCGACTCGGCCGCCGCACCCTAAATTCTTCAATCTCTGCATGTTAGTGCAGTGTGTGTGTGTGTGTGTGTCCCCTTATGTATTATTCAGCTCAAGAGTCCTTCATTCACTCATTCATTCTGTTAGGGTTGCCGGCTAGTTTACTTTCCCATGATCTCTCTCCTAAGGCTTCGTTTTTTTCCTGTAGGTAATCAGCTATTTCCTTATTATTATTATTATTATTATTATTATTATTATTAGTAGTAGTAGTAGTAGTAGTAGTAGTAGTAGTAGTAGTATCTTTCACGGTCAACTGATAATTGTAAAATCTTCTGTCACCTCTCACCGTCAGCTGTTACTATCAGCCGTACTATCAACACTCACCGTCAGCCGTACTGTTAGCCCTTACTTCTAGCCGTTACTGCTAGCCGACATTGTTAGCTGTCACTGTCAGCTGAAATTGTCAGCTGTCACTGCCAGTCGACATTGTCAGCTGTCACTGCCAGCCAACAATGTCACTGTCAACCATCACTGTCAGCGGATGTTTACTTAGCCAGGCCAGTGTTCTCTCTCTCTCTCTCTCTCTCTCTCTCTCTCTCTCTCTCTGTAGGATGGAACACTCCAGATTTATTTGTAAACAAGATGACACTTGTTTACCTGAACCTGTAAACATAAACAACACATCAGACATCAGCTGCTCCAGGTCTCTACATTATGACGACTGACCTGACTGACTGACTGACTGACTCGATGAATAACTAGCTAACTGACTGACTAACAAAATAAATGACTGAATGACTTGTTGATTCAGAAAATAAATGAAAAGTAACTAGACCCATAAAGCCTCTCACCTGTGCTAATTAACTGTTGCACACCTTACTGTTCACTAAAGCACGTACCTCTTCACACTGCGGTTGCGGCGAATTCACCGGTCCGACGCCAGATTGCATGTGCGGCGTCCCGCTGGACTTGTCAGGTACCGCGCCCGTACGCTGCAAACTGTAGACAAGAGTCCTAAGTTGGGTCGCTGTAGGCGGCAGCCGGACGAATGTGGAGCAGAAGACTGTGGTCTCTCCGGTGTGGCGACCAACCGCATAGTGTGAGAGAGGCCTAAGGTTTTCATTTGTTAGGTTAGATTAGGTTAGGTTAGGTAGATGAAATAAACAGCAAGTTCCTAATCATCACAAAATCCCAAGAAAAATACACAACACAGTATAATAATGTACAAATAACCTAACCTAACCTAACCTAATCTAACCTAACCTAATCTAACCTAACCTAATCTAACCTAACCAAACCAAACCAAACCAAACGTAACGTAACGTAACCTAATCTAAAATGCTTAAGAGACACAGTGGAGTCAAGACAATAATACCCGAGACGATGACAGACTCAAGGGCCAGAGAGAGAGAGAGAGAGAGAGAGAGAGAGAGAGAGAGAGAGAGAGAGAGAGACCATCATCTGGTGTGTTCCTATACTGACGATGTGAGGACGACCAGCTGAGAGCAACAAGGTGATTCACGGAACACTCTTGGGCGGTGCTGACGTCAGGGAGTGGAATGATAACAAGATTATAGCTGTTAGTAATGGATAGTTGTTGGATAGTGTGGGGTAGTGGGATAGTGTGGGGTAGTGGGATAGTGTGGGGTAGTGGGATAGTGGACCATGGATAATGTCTCAATGGAGGCTAGGCTAGGTTAGGATAGGTTAGGTTAGGGTTGATTTGGTTTGATTAGGATTAAGTTAGATTAGGTTAGCGTTAGGGTGGTTAATCTTTCGGTGAATTAAGCTGTGATGGAGATTTTTTTTCTGTATTATTTTAACACTTGTTTGAATACTAGTCCATATTTCTTAAGAGTTTATTTCTGTAGATAGGTAAAGATCTTCGTTTGTGTGGGGGGGAGGGTCTGGGTCTGTTTTATTTCACATTATTATCTATTAACTGATTCATATTACATTCATTTCGAGTCTAATTCCCCATTCATTCATGTAGTGTATATTATGTAAAAGCCATCAGCCCAGCGTGTGTTTGAGATACTACTGTAAACCTGTCACAATTTTCAGAAATACTCTTTGGCTTCCTCTACACACATTAAATGCAGCGAATTCAAACCTTATATTTCACCCTCGATAAGTATAGCCAAGCTTATTTAGGTTCAAGTGAGTTAACTATTTCCTCACATGAATGGTTGGGGGGAAGGTGTTATGGATTGTGGTAGTTTACGGTATTAAGGTGGGGGATCCTGTGGTCACCCGGACGTTGTGTTTGTTGACAATGTTATGATACGATCTGTGTTGTAACCGATCACAACCTAACACACACATACAGCTGACTCCTGACTCTTTCTACATGTCATGATCTGTCCTTAGCTGTTTTTTTTTTAACCGTCTGTTAGTGTGTACGGATAGTCACTCCTGTCTAAATCTGTCTCTAGGTGTGCTAATATATATATATATCTCTAGCTACCTCAAATATTATCTTCAATCATCTGTCTTCCTTACCCGTCTATCTCGTCTTTCCTGTCTCTAACTTTCTCGTATTTACTGTCCACTACGATAGATAGATAGATAGATAGACCGTCACCACTACCACTAATCTATCACAACCTCTTGCTAGCGTCTTGAACTCAGTGCGTCAGAGACAAACGGATCACCTTACCTGTTGATGCGTATGTGTGTAAACATTTTATGACGGGGATCCTACTTCTCCTCTTCTTCTTCTTCTTCACACTTCTTCTTCTTCTCCTCTTCCTGCTGTTTCTCCTCTTTCTCCTCACACTTCTTCTTCTTCTTCTTTTCCTCCTCTCCTCTCCTTTTTATTCTTCTCTTCTTGTTCCTTCTTCCCCTCACCATTCTCTCCCTCCTCTTCCTCTTCTTTTCTTCTCCCTTTCTCCTGTTTCTTCCCCCTTTACTCTTCCCCTTTCTCGTTCTTGTGGAAGAGTTTGGGTGGGGAAGGGAGGAGGAGGGGGAGGAGGAGGAGAAGGAAAAGAGAAGAGGAAATGGAACGGAAACAAAAGAATGGAAAAGATCATTCAACTTAGACTATAAAGATTCGTAAACTAAATCGATTCTACAGGGCGTCTCTCCGTCACATCTCAACCTCCGTCACATCTCAACCTCCGTCACATCTCAACCTCCGTCACATCACAACCTCCGTCACATCACAACCTCCGTCACATCTCAACCTCCTATGTCACATCCCAGCCTCCGTCACATCTCAAGCTCCGTCACATCTCAACCTCCGTCACATCACAACCTCCGTCACATCACAACCTCCGTCACATCTCAACCTCCGTCAATCGGCCTCATGCATCCTCAGCCTCCATTCCATCACAACCTCCGTCATCTCAGCCTCCAATCACATCTCAGCCTCCGTACATCTCCCAACCTCCCGTCCATCTCAGCCTCCGTCACATCTCAACCTCCGTCACATCTCAGCCTCCAAATGCATCTCGCCTCCAAATCACATCTCAGCCTCCGTCCCTTCAACCTCCGTCATCTGCAACCTCCGTCATCTCAACCCCTCCGTCACATCTCAACCTCCGTCATCAACCTCCGTCACATCACAACCTCCGTCATCTCAACCTCCGTCTATCAACCTCCCGTCACATCTCCAAGCTCCGTCACATCTCAAGCTCCGTCTGGCTCAAAAGCTCCGTCACATCACAACCTCCGTCACACCTCAACCTCGTCACATCTCTCAAGCTCGTCATCTCAACTTCCGTCATCACAACCTCGTCCACATCTCAACCTCCGTCATCTCAAGCTCCGTCACAGCATCTCTCAACCTCCGTCAGATCACAACCTCCGTCATCTCAGCCTCCGTCATCACAGCCTCGTCATCTCAACCTCGTCACATCTCAGCCTCGTCACATCTCAGCCTCGTCACATCTCAACCTCCGTCACATCACAACCTCCATCATCTCAACCTCCGTCATCTCAAGCTC